CAACACCATAACTCAAAAGCATCAATTTTTCTACCTAAAATGAATGATAATAATTATCATGAAAGGGAAGGTACTATTTAGTGGGCACCTTGATAGGCCAGATGCTGTAAGTCGGTTGTGTTATAACTCCTGTGGTAATATCTAATCTATTTAGCACAAGGCTCAGTGAAATGTTTTGTTTCTGAAGACTGCCTCTGATTTCAGCTTGGGACCCACTCTAGAACCCAAGGAAGTAGTAGAAAAGCTGATGCATGGGATCCTGACTGAGCAGAAGATGATTTTTGTTCCATTCTCTGTATGCATCTTAACAATAGTGGAAAGGTAAGTGACAACAGTATAAATGAGAATTAAGATGTAGCTAGGAATTAATCAAAATAATAGATTTAAAGAATCTTTTTTTATTACCATATATGCTAATTATTGAAGCAAGATGGGGGTAAATTAATTGAATCTTTGTACAAGGTTATGAAAAAAATTATTATTAATATATTTAGCTCATTGTGGTGAAATACATACAGATGAAAACATTCATTGATAATTTCCACATCCACAATTAATTTCTACAAATTTTCAAATGTTTATTTTTAAAAGAAAGAAACTGGGTCTCAGGGTCATGGAGACTGATGTTCACGTGACTGATGTTCTAGCTTGGAGTTAGCAGTCCTGAGCTTCTTCTCCAGCACCACGCCAGGGCTCATACTGAAACGTTGTTGTTGTGAAGTGCAGTCAAATTGGTCTGACTCATAGTGACCCTGTATAGGATTTCCAAGAAGTATCTGGTAGGTTTGAACTGCTGACCTTGAAGTTAGTAGTCCAGTGCTTATGCTGTAGGAATTTCTAAATGATCTTTTATCCTTTTAGTGATGTTTGAGCCTTGCTAGTTAAATTGTGGGCCACAATTTAGCATCATCTGGGACCTTATTTACAAATACAAAATCTTATACCCCACTCTAAACCACCTAAATTAGAATCTGCATTTTTGTAAAATCCCCAGATGATTTGCATGCATATTGAAATCTGAGAAGCACTTCTTTAGAGCTATCGCTCTCAAGTTTGGTGCACACTGGAATTTACCTGGGAGATTTCAAAAATACTGATGCCTAAGATCTACTCCTCAAGATTCTGGTTTAAATTGGTCTAAAAATACAGCTTAGAATGAGATAAAGCTGAATTTGTGTGACTTGGTAGCAGTAAGAACCCCTTTGAAGTTTAGTAATAGGGAGACAACAGTAGGACTTTATAGACATCTGAGAAATAAAGAACATTTATTCATAATATTCATAATGCTTATACATTTTAAATAGTTCACAGTATGTACTCAATAAACATTTTATATCAATATTTACTACCACTATTATGAGTTCCTGGATGGTGCAAATGGTTAAGCATTCAGCTACTAACCAAAAGGTTGGGAGTTCAAATTTTGAGATACCTCAAAAGAAAGGTGTACATCAAAAGATCACAACTATTAAAAACCCTATGTGTGCTTGTATTCTGCAACGCATGGATTCACCATGAGTTGGCAAATGTTTAATTCTTATTATAATTTCTACCATCATTATCATTGTCCTGATTTTCCTTTGACTTTGAGAGTTTGACACTCAATTTCCAAACCCTATTTTAATGCTGGAATCCTGGTATGAAGCTGGACTTCAAACCATAAGGTTAGCAGTTCGAACCTACCAGCTGCTCCTCAGAAGCCCTATACAGGGTCCCAATAAGTTGGAACTGAGTCAAAGGCACTTAACAACAACAACATTTTAATGCTAGCTAGGTAAATCTCTTTTATATAGTTACATGAATTTACATACGAGGGGCTTTGTAAAGTTTATGGAAAAATTCCATTATCTTTTTTTTATTAACTTTAAAAATTCTATTATTTAATTCCACTTTTCCATGAACTTTTAGAATCCGCCTTGTATTTTCTCAAATCAGCTGCATGTGACAAGTCACTAAATATTCTTAAATATAACTATTGGAGAAAAAAGACCTCATGTTATGGCTTGAATATGTTCCCCCAAAATATGTGTTGTAAATCCTAACCACTACGCCAGTGTTTCTAGTCATATTTGAGAATGGATGTCTTTGTTGTGCCCTGTTGAAGGCATTTTTTTATTAACATTTTCCATTTATGCATGAGGAATTTCAACTCAAAGGCCAACTGAAATCAGTATCATGCCCCAAACCAAATGTGTGTCTGCATTTTCATTTGGTAATTCTACTTCCTCGGAAACCCTGTACAGGGTCGCTATGGGTCGGACCCGACTCGATGGCACTTAACAACAACAACAACAAGTCTCTTTCAGGAACATTTAAATAATATTCTTGATTATAAAATGTAAAATTAGTTCATATTCTCACTTCCTTTTCTATATCAGGTTTCTTATTAAAAAACCCATTAACAGGCCAACTATTCAGTTCTATATACCACTTCTGTTAAATTGTTTGAAAAATATAAAAGCATATTTATTTCTTTTTCTTTTTATTGTTGTAAGAAGATAAGAGAGGGCTTCAAAAAGTTTGTGGAAAAATTCTGTTATCTCTTAATTCCATTTTTCCATGAAATTTTTGAAGCCCCTTCATATTTATTTTAAAAAATAAATATTTCGGGCCACTACACCAGCTGCTCCTCGGAAACCGTATGCAGGGTCGCTATGGGTCAGAACCAACTCAACAGCACCTTCACAACAACAACTACTACTTTCAAGAAGGATAAACCCTTATTTTGAACAGGAAAATGGACTTTATGGGAAAGAATATAGTGGTAGCCCTGAGATCTTGTTTAAGACAAACATGGATATAATATATCATAAATTCAATGTAAAGTTTTTTAAAGTATTTTACAAATGCACTTTATTAATTTCCTAATTATTTTATTTATTTTTAGGATCTTTCCTGAGCGTTTCCTGAGACTTTTAAGACGAAAGATCAATGTTAAGTTTGATGCAGTTGTTGGATACAAAGTTAAGGAACAATAAGGACCTGATTCTGTTGAAAACTGATGGTACCAGCTGATTTCATCTAATGTTAATCAGAATCTTAATACATGCTTTGACGCCTACTTTTCCTAACTATCCTTTTTTTTCTGATATCATCTCTTGTGGCTCTTTTACCATCACTTGTTCTTTAACTGACAGCTGTTTTCATGGGACACAGGAGAGTAATAAACACCTTAGGAGTTGACCTTAAGGAAAATGGTGGGGTGGGGGGAGGATATGTTTGCAATCATTTTCAAGATTTTTATGGTTCATCTGAAGGCTTTGCACATTATTTATAATATAATTGCTTAAGACATATTTTGATTTCTAATTATACTTAAATGTAATTTATGTATTTCAAATGCTTTCTTACACCACAGCTGGCCTCATCCACTTGAGTAGCTTCTCTGGCCAGGGTTGTGTAGTAGGCTTGCAAATCTCCTGGACCGGAGCCTGCCGACCTAATGAGAGATGTTTTGGGGATGGAAAAAGGGATTTCTTGCTTTGTTGAAGAAAGTGATTGGAAAAGCAGTGAAGGAATCCTACCAGGAAAGGGTCTGCTTGAGAAACTCAAGGGTAGGCTGATAAGGCCTGCTGCTAACACTCCCTGACAACAGGCACCAAGATGAAGATGTAACATTGGGTTTGTTAGATGGGGAAAAAATGAAATTGAAGTCATGGAAATATAAAAAATATTGACATAGCGCACTAATAAAAATAACATGTCAGGGGTTACTCTATGTACAGAAATAAATAATCCACTCATTATTTGCATAAAAATATGGTTATCAGAAGCTTTAAACTCTCCAAATACAATGAAGGACTCTACTAACAGGCATACACACTTCACAATGAATCTCCTGTAATGTAAGAAATAGTTGTTGTATATTTTATCTTATATAATACCGTCGGTTTCCTGAAAGATACCTCACATTTTAATACCAAGCATTTCAACACAAGGAGAATAGAGCAGGACTTGCATTGCAAGTATAGAAACACTGTGGAATTTGAGGCAGAGAATTCAGAGGACTTGTGCATATTGGCAACCCTTGTGCATATTGGTAACAATAATAAATGGATCATACATAAACTTTTGGTTTTTATTAACCTTCAAATTAAAGGAAAATGGATGATTTAATCAATGTTTTGTTTTGTTTTTAATGTTTGAAAGTTGCTTGGTGTGAATCACAGTGAAATAAGATTATAATATCAGACCTATAAATTGACTGCCACTTGTATCATCTGTCAGCTGTAGGATTTTTAGGTATCTATTAAAGAAAAAATATTTTCAAGAGTCTATTGGACACACACAAAATGAAGATCTTCGTCCTTATATTGTTGTTGTGTGCCGTCAAGTCAGTTCCAACTCATAATGACCCTGTATAGGGTTTCCGAGGAGCAGCTGGTGAGCTTGAACCGCCAACCTTGCTGTTCAAACAGCTTTACAGTCTGGTGCATTAACCCACAATGCCACACCAAGTATATATCTATGAAAAACTACAATACACATAAGAATAAGTATAAATAAGTATATGCATACATGAATCTAACCTTACGATCTCTTTCTAGATACTGTATTTTTGGAGACAGGATATGCATTTATTACTTTTAAAAAATAAAAAATTTCTAATGATAAAAGTAAAATTAGAAAAAAAATAGTCATATTTTTATGTGATTTAAGTAAGATTCTGTCTGGAGAGTGGGTACCCTAATCTTGCAAATGTTCTTTTAATCCTTGAATTTTGTGTTCAGACATTTAAAGTACTAAATGAGCCACCCTATGACTATCAAAGCAGAATGGATTTCTTTTAGTGTAGGAAAGTGCCAACTGCTTCTTTGTCACAGCTGCTTCCTTCTGTTTCACACAGTGAGAGTAAGTTTAGCAATTGGGTCCTTATTCATTCTAAATTGCTGTTTCAGGCACACAGTGATAAGTGGGGTAAACAAGGCACACTGGAATTGAAATGAAAGCAAGTGTTTTATTTAAATGGATCAGCCACAGCTTAGTTATGTTGTTGTTGTTAAGTGCCTTCGAGTCGGTTCCGACCCATAGCGACCCTGTACAGGGTTTCCGAGGGTGTAAATCCTTACGGGAGTAGAAAGCCTCATCTTTCTCCCGCGGAGCAGCTGGTAGTTTCGAACTGCTGACCTTAAGGTTCGCAGGCCGATTCGTAACCACTACGCTACCAGAGCTCCTTACAGCTTAGTTATAAGACAGTAGAATTTCTAACTCTTCAATCAATGAGTCTGATGAAAACCCTGGTTACTAGTATTCTCTTGTTGTTGTTAAGTGCTGTCGAGTTGGTTCCAACCCATAGCAATCTTGGTTTGGGTTTCTGAGAAGCAGCTGGTGAGCTTGAACCTCCAACCTTGTGGTTCAAAGAGACTTTGCAGTCCAGCACGTTAACCCACAGCGCCACACCAGGCTGACCTTGAAATTAGAAATAAAGGAGAGTGTGCAGTGCTGCTGCTTGCAATCTGGCAAATAGCAAGCTACCAGCCTGACTCATTAACAAGCTCTCTTGTCCTCTCCCTTTTGTTCCTCTGTTGTTGTTAAATTCCATCCTGATGGCAGTTCTGGCTTATAGTGACCCTATACACAACAGAAGGAAACACTGCCCAGTCCTGTGCTGTCCTCACAATTGTTGTTATGTTTGAGCCCATTGTTTCTGCCACTGTGTCAAGCCATCTTGTTGGGGATCTTTCTCTTTATTCCTCTGCAACCTACCCAAAAGGCTATATAAGGGGATATTAACTCTGTAATGTTGTTGTTGTTAAGTGCCATCAAGTCGGTTCCAATCCACGGCGATACTGCATAAGGTTTCTAAGGAGCAAATGGTGAGCTTGAAGCACTGACTTTGTAGTTCAAATTAACGTTGCAGTCCAGTGCATTAACCTGCAGCCCACTCTTGATCATATGCTACCTCTTGAAACAGTTGAACATTAACCATTTCCCTTTTGTATAGTGACTTTGTGTATTCCTTCCATCTTTTTTTGATGCTTTCAGTATCATTCAATAATTTGCCCAGAGAATCTTTCAATAATGAAAATCAAAGCTTGAATTCTTTTCTTCAGTCTCCTTAGCTTGAGAAATGCTGAG